GGAGGACTACGGCTTGTGGATGCGTGTTGCGTGAGACGTTGTTATGAATTGTGTTGGGTGACCGTGTGCCGGCAGCATAGTAACAAATAGCATATTACTGAAAAAAACAAGCCTGTTTTATTTGGTATACAAGAAAACCAATCATTACTTGACTACATGATGATCAGAATGTTTCTGTATTTTTTGATGCTAAATTAGTTTTACAGAATTTCCTTACACTATCGAGTTCTGGATGAAACAATACCAGTGTCAAACCGGGAGGTTCAAACCCCACTGCAGTCAGCATGTCGTTGTGTCCCTGGGCAAGACACTTCACCCCAAATTGCTCCTGTGGGGATTGCCCACAGTCTTGAGTATGTAAGTCACTTTGGATAAAAGCGTGTAACATGTAATGTAATAATGTAATGTAATATCAAGCGGGGAAAAGCAGAAAATCCAGTCGACTCCAAATGAGTACCTGGAACCAGCAAATATGTATATTCTTTCTTGATTACATCCCTAAAGCGGTCCTATAAAAAAGAATAATAGGGCCTCTTTAAGTGATAACATGTTTCTGAATCATATTATTTTAAAGTATTTATCAATGACTATTTTCTCAACTCTAGTTGATATATTGCATCATCGTTCTCCGGTTCTCTGTGTATTTAGATTGTTGTAATGTTGCGTCACGTCACGTCTAACCCAGTCTATGTTCTAACTTCTAACCCTCTGTTTTTGTTGATCACAACCAGGGCTGTCATTCAGTGCGATGCTTCACAACCCTAATTATGAAAGAATGCCCCCGGGGCAGCCATAGCATTCCTCTTCTAGGAGTCTACCTGCGTGCCAAGATCGAAATGTACAAGTGAAGAACATTCCTGGGAGGTGATACCTCACCAAGGAGTGTCCTTCTCACCTGGATTCACAGAGACAACTGGAAACCAAACAAAGGTTGCCTGGAAACATGCCTAACAGTTCAACCGAGATGAAAAAAGAAAAACGTCTCTGATCCACTGGCAATTTGTGGCTGCTCAAATGAAACGTTGAAAGCCTAAAAAGCTCTTTTGGGGGGTTTTATGTGATCCTCAGTTTGTACCTGTGAGAAAAGAGTGAGTCATTTTCTTATAATAGGAGGCTGACAACTCCATCTGTCTCTGCTCTGAGTCTCTCTCTCTCACACACACAGGCACAAAGTAATCTCAATTCTTCTCAACTCCTCGCCTGACACTGACAATGTGTAAGTGTTGATGTTAGAAAAACTGCCATGAAAATAAAAATAAACCACACACACATGCACACACACATACTAGGGCTGCTCAATTAATCGTATTTTAATCGCAATCTCGATTACGAAAACGTTTTTAATAATCGTGATATCAATTATTGACCCAAATAATCGAGATTATGATTTTTGCCATAATCGAGCACCCCTAACAACTGCGTCAAACCGGGATCTACTCGTCTAAATCTAGACATCTTAAATCACCTGAAGAGTGATTGAGTGTGTGTGTGTGTGTGTGTGTGTGTGTGTGTGTGTGTGTGTGTGTGTGTATCACTGGTTGTTTGATCTCCATTACAAAAGTGGATCACATTTCAACTATTGCCAAAACAGTTTGCAAGTCATATATCTCTCTCACAATGATCCAGTTCTTCTTTGTTTCCTCTGATAAAGTATCAGATTTAAACACACATTTCATTTAAGTGAGGTAAATGATATCATTTGACGTTTTGTGGCACCTTGTCATCCAGAGACAAAACAAACCGCAACAATCCAGAGTGAGTCATGATGGGTTTCAGTTACTTAAACCAATCTGAAGTGGATCTGACTCACTGTTCATTTGGTAGCAACAACAAAACAAGTCTCCTGAAACTGTGCACCTTCTGCAGAATAAGCACACACACCTTCACTCGGAAGTCAAATATGAGTTTGTTTCCAGGAAATGCCTTTCCCCACCCTGACCACCACTCACACACTTGACAGCGACACAAAGAGAGCGTCTTTGTAACACACACATGCAGAGCCGCACCTCATTATAGCAGTACACACACATGTAGTGCATCAGAATGAGTGCATATAGTATTGTCAATTAAAGAAAATGGAAAAATGACGTATTCAAAACAAGTTGTATATATATAGCCCAACATCACAAAACACATTTGTCTCAGTAGGCTTTACAGGTTAATACACATGAATGACAATATATGATTTCAAGAGTAACAGGATAGACTATAAAAACAATTACAAATACAGTAAAATCTTCTATATTTATTGAGACATTGATGAGCATGCTATGGATGTTTGGGTTGCTGATCAAAAATGTCTCAAAAGGCTGGGGAAGAAGGACATAACTAACAAAAGATTCCAATCAAATTAGAGCTGAATGAAGCACCTCAGGTAAAGTGAAGACATGTTTTTGTTTTCTTTTGCTTTAACGTATTTGCATGCAGTACATTTTAATTGAACAGTTTCACAATGCATGGATTTACAGCGCATAGTTAGTACATCAACCAATGCACAATCAAAACAGCAAGAGGATAGTGCTTTGTAGCTATCGGTAGCCTATGTCGCTAACTCCTGTTATCAAGTTCATTGCATTTACTTTCCTTTACCCTAACCCTACTGATGCCGGATGGTGGAACAACCAAAGTTAGGGTAGAAAACTAAATGCAGTGTTGTTGATAGTTGCTAAGCTCTGAGGAAAACGGATAGTGATCCGGTCGTCACTGCCACAGCAGTGCCAGCAAAAATACCCCTTGAAAAAGTTAGTCTATTTCCACCGTAACAAACATGGAGTTTAAAGAATAACTAAAATGGATCACGAAACTGAAGAATGTCTACAGATGAAGAACCCTCTTTGTCCCCTTTACATACTGCACACTAATGTACTGTCTACAGCAGATGAGTCACCTGAAATGACATGAGCCCTCAAAGGGAAACCATCACGTATTGTTTGGTCTTTGTTTTGGTCTGCAGCTCTAATCTGAATACGGTTGAGCTGCAGCACTCAGTCTGACTCATGGGGCTTTTACCTTTGGATTGGTGAGCGTACAGTCCAAGCCACTTACAGCTACTTCCCCAAAACAAACACACATCTTCTCTCGAGCCCTGATGATATAAAAAACACACGTATCTCCTGTGGACTGCGACATGTGTGAGCAGGCAGACCTCGGATCTGTCTCGGAAACCATGTTTTTCCTTTCAGACTGCCAGGGGAAAGATCTGTTATTTGAACAGTCTGAACAGTAAAAGTCAAGGAATGCACTGACCTTTGTCAGTGCATACATGTGTGTAACCGCCCTGTGTAACACACATGTGTGTAACCGCCCTGTGTAATACATATGTGTGTAACCGCCCTGCAACACACATGTGTGTAACCGCCCTGTGTAACACACATGTGTGTAACCGCCCTGTGTAACACACATGGTACTTTTTATTAACGCACAAATGGACAGGTAAATACATATAATCAACTTCTTTATCACATGTCATTATGCAAGACACGAATCATGTTGTTCCTTCATTTTATGCATACAAAAGGTTTACAATGCACATCCATCTTGTGGTGTTCATCATGCAGCAAACATTTAAGATTCGTAGTAGAAATAACTCACAGTTTGGTCAAGTTTAGTATATTTTTTATTGCATTCTTACCGATTCCTGTACATTTGTACTGATTTTAGTGGAAACACGTCATGCTGCAAAGAAAGATTTCAGTTTAAGTCAGTTTGTTTTGCGCTAAAGTACAACCCTGCACACACATACTGTACAAAGCCCACCCACAGGCACTTTTAGATGACCTTTGGTGATGTTGTTACAGTTAGCTGTTAGCTGTCAGAAACAGTCAAACCTGCAGCAACACATCCATTTCCAGAGGCTCCATAACCAAAAAGGGTCTAATAACAGTGTCAAATGGGTGTAATAACTAAATAAATAATAAATGAATAATTTTGGTTTCTCTAACAGGGCTTCAAAAGAGGGGTTTTTTTTCATATTTAAACATTTAAAGGGGACCTATCATGCAAAATGCACTTTGTGATGTCTTTCATACATACTAACCTGTACTGGAGAGAGCATGTGTTTAAAAAGCAGGTAATATAAAAAGGAACTCACCTTGATATAAACCTGTAAGAGAAAAAGCATTTGAGCTCCATACTATTTCAGAAATAATCCTTGATGTGGTTTAGAACAGGATGGCGTTT